AGCTGGCTTAATCAACTCCATTTTGTAGCAAGCTTTGTAACTTCCGTTTTGTAAAGCCTTGATTTCTTTTGTAAACTCCCACCCATGCCTAACTGCAAAATGTGACTGCAAATAAGAAAGTGTTTCTTAGCATTTCGAGAAATGGCCCTCAACATTCTGCAAAATGAGTTAAACTGTCCTTCCGATTATGGAAACAAACAGAACGCCTAAAAATGGGTTAAACTGTCATCAGATGTCCTTCTGATTACCAGAACAAAAACAATGACTAAGCCAAATAAGGACATATTCCTGTAGGGTTTACAAAATATGACCTTGTCTACGAAAACAAAGAGTTAACCCTCGGTTATGTAAAACTCCCCCGTCTTCCCCCTACTTTTGTGGTTTTCTGCTTTAAAAACTGTGTGTCACTCCAGCTAGGTGGGCACTCTTGTCAGTTTTCTGGGGAGAGTGTTGCCGCTGAGCTCAGCTAATAAAGTGCTGCAAAATGTCCCTTTGATTTTGGTGTCTATTGGTTTTGCGATGTGCCATACATGGTACTGTGAGAGTTAAAGAGATGTAAAAAATCCAGCACAGTTTCTGACATACAACAAACACCCCAGTAAAATTATATACACTGTTGTATTAATATAATAAATGGAAGTTTTGATTTTTGTTTAAGATTTTTTGATGCCCCAGGTGTGATGGCACATACTTGTAACCCTTGGGAGGCTGAGGCAAGAGGATTGGCATCTTGGGCTCAAATTCACGGCAGTGCTCTTCTTTTATCCTCCCTATTGGTGGAATTACAGGTATTACAGGCATTTATGCCACCATGCCCATCTAAGTGTACATTTAACTTTCTGTCTGGAATGGGAGTTTGTAAAATCAGAGACGCAATCTGCATTACTGTGAGTTCTCACCCATTTCTAGAAAAGCAACTCAAAACTGGTGTGCCCTAATGACAGAAGAATTGCAGCATCTTCCTTGATATGTATCGATTTTTCTATAGAGATTCTCCCATACTACTACTTTTAAAAACAAAAACCCTAGAGAATATTGAAATAATATTGTAAAAAATGATAAGATTAAGACTCTGGAAGAGCTAGGTGTAGTGGAGTACAGTTGTAATACCAACACTTGGAAGGCTCAGGCAGGAGAATTGCTGCAAGTTCAAGACCAGCCTGGGCTATATAATGAGTTCAAGGCCAGCCTGAACACAGCAACACATTGTTTCAAACAAATAACAGATCTGGATAGAGTGGTGCATGCCTGTAATCCCAGCACTCAGGAGGCTGATGCAGGAGGACTGTTCCAAGGTTGAAACCAGCCTGGGCTACAAAGTGAGCTCAAGGCCTCACTTTGTAGACCATGCCTGAACTGCATAGTGAGACCCTGTCTCAAAAAGACAAAACATAAGGCCAGGGATATAGCTCAGCAGCATAAGTGCCTGCCTGGCAAGCACAAGGTCCTGAGTTCTATCCTTGGTACAGAAAAAAAAGAAAA